CCCCAAAACCCCAAAACCCCAAAACCCCTTTAAAGCTATAGATATTGAAACTAGCTCTATATTGAGAAGCCCACTTGGCACCTAGTTAAGAGTCTCTCAAGAAAAGTCTGAGTACATTTGTATTGTTTAATTTATTGTATTTCTAACTTAAATTGATGTTCTTTCAACTCATTTATACTAGAATTTCTATGGATTTCCAGTAGAAAATAATTTCTTCTTTTTCATTTTATTGCATTGAATCTCCAGCCTTACCATCTTTGGGTCTGGGTGGAGAACTTCATAGTGATACTCAGAAATTATTTTATTTACCTCTTTATCCTCATTTTTGATTTCACCAAGCTTTTCCAAATAAGCTTCCTCAAGAGATGTGCACAGGACTCCCTCTATAGATAAGTTACAAGCTTACTGCTTGTACGAAGCATCCTAGATGTATTGATATTTTCCAGAGTTTTATCAAAGACCTTGTTGATCTTCTTCATATCTACAATGGTCATGAGCTTGACTTACATAACTTCGCATCAGAGACTAGTTTTACTTGACTATTTCCATGATTCTCAGACTCGCTCATTATACTCTCAAGTTTGTTTTGGTGGTTTCTGTTACAAAACGAAAATCTGCTCTTACTGAAAGTTGTTGATCCTGTCCTTGGACGCCCAGTTGGAGCGCTCGGACTCTGCCTCTTTCTACTGTCATACCTAATTATTTGTGTGAGATAGAGAATCCATACCCTCGGCTTTTTAGTACGGAAGATTTTGGTTGAGTTTTAAACATAAGTTTATTCTTTCCCTATGTATTAAAATATCAAGAATACGCGGCCAATTTTAGGGCTCATTAGTCTCTTCAAGATATTGGACTTCTTCAGTTTATTTTACTTTGGCCTTCTGTATCTTAGGTCCTATAAGCTATTAAAAGGAATGTATACTCTTATCCTCAAATAATCCTAAAGAATGCTTATTTTCAAGACCAAATAGTTGCTCTTGAAAAATATTTTTTAAATTATCTTTTGATTCCTTCTTAGTTACTTTTTGATGAATTGTAGTTAAACAGGTTTTCTCCGCTGAGCATCTCCTTCATCTCTTTTCAGAGCAATCTCCCTGAGACAGGTTTGCCATGCCTGGCACTAAGCCGTGATTTTGAAAGGCCGAAAGGGGAGTTGACTTCCCTGCTTTGCAATTTCCTTATATCAAATTTCTTCTTCAGCCGCTGCATGAATTGACGATTCTTATGAACATAGAACGCTATCGGCTCCTCTGCGAGACTCTGCACTTTTATTGACTCATTGGGAGATCATAGTTTATTCGAAGATCGAATCGACCCTTAATCATCTCACTGTTTTTCTCATTCTTTCTGATGTGAAACTTGTCAATAGGCACCATCACATTGTATATCTCTGAAGAATTATCTTCAGTATTTTTGATTTCTTGACTATAAGCATAGAATTAGGTTTCAGATCATGAAATTTAGAGAATTTCCCAGCGAATAAAGCAACCTACTTGAGATTTAAGGAGTCAGTAGTGGCTGAGTACTCCTGAAAAGTGCATCCTTGAGGTATGCTTTCAGCAGATTTTGCTTTTGCCATTTCATGCATAATTATTCTATCCATTGCCTGGAAATACGGTACTTCACTTTCGTCAGCATGGTTGATTTTACTATTAGATTGTGTTACAACGTAGACACTCAGATAAGGTCAAGCTTAAATTTGGTATATAAACAGTACTCACCCATCCTTCACATTTTTCATCGAAACTATGGCATTTGGCTTTAAGAATTTCTTAGAAGAGGCTCTAAATAGTTATTCATTCATTCCCAAATGCTATAAAAAGCAAGCACCAACTCAATAAGATGCCAATGTTGGGTCTAAAAGAAAGGCTGTAGAGGCTATTGGAGACTGGATGAGACTTTTCGAGTCCTAAACATACCCATATTGCATCATATTTTCTTCCATCATTCAATCTTATATTTATCTTTTGGGGTTTTGGGGTTTTGGGGTTTTGGGGTTTTGGGGTTTTGGGG